CTGAACATTGCGTTTATGTCTATGCTTAGAACAATGTGTACAGTATTTGATAATGTCAAACAGGCGCTGATACGAGACAGGTATCATTTTTCGTACTTAGGCCACACCGACTTAATTTTATATATGGATGACATCCTCTGAAGACCCCCAAACAAGTGCGTGCGGGCGAATTAAAAAAAAAAAATCCAAGCCAAAAATAAAAATAGCTACTAAAACCCTTTTTTGCGACTACAAGGCGAAAATCAATCCGCGCGCAAATATCATCCATAAAAGTCGGTGTGGCCTTATTATCCATAGATGAATAGATAAATAGAGCAAATTAACGTACAAAATGCAATCAAAGGTAATATAGTTCATGCATGGTATCCTTTGTGTTTACATTTTATTACAGATATTACACATTCCTCTCAATGTTTTGAAGCATGATTTTTGGCCCTTTTTTTTCAAATAAATTTTCATTTGCCTTGTAAGTTTGATATTGTCTCACCTTTTGGTAGTAACATCTGTGTCCATAATATCACCAGGGTCCATAATATCGCCACCTTGAGAAACAGTGTGCTTAAAGATATTTTTACTGCAACATACTTATTGGTATGCACTCCTTCACACATCATCAAATGTACATACCTAGGGTATGTTGCAGTAAAAATATTTTTAAGCACACTATTTCTCAAGGTGGCGATATTATGGACCCTGGTGATATTATGGACACAGATGTTTAATACATTGTACGTTCCAATCGACGTCTTCGAGTTGATGATAAAAAAAGCACTTTCACTTTCCATGGCAGAACGCCCCCACATTTCCCATGGTCCACTGCGCGCAGACGACAACACGAAGACATGTCGTACACTTCGGTGGACTTCGAGGTTCACGGCCGGGTACAAGGTGAACAGGGACAGTTATGAGAAACTCTGTTTTATATCATTGTAGACGTTGCGCCGAGGATATTCTACGTGTCTTTTGAGTCTCGGTAGAACAGTTCTAACAGTGTTAACCGCCACTATAGTCTAGTATGAATGTCACACAATTTGTGAGGGGGAGGGGGCGTGGTTGAAGATTCTAGAATGGATCATAAAAACATCAGGACATGATGGTATTTCACACTATCTTTGGATGCTAATATAACGAATTTATCTAGGATAATCGAACTACGAATACTGCATAACTCACCGTGTTTGTCTGTATAATAGTAAAGAAAGTTAAACAAAACAATTGTCTTCATTCCAAATACTGCAACAAATTATAACTGAACGAATTCACTCCCTGATGTCTTTTTTTTCTCTTCCCGAAAATTAAAGGCGTCTGCTTTCGAATGGTAAGTAAAACTCTTATATAGTATGACATGTGTAATGTTAACATTATATAGTATGTGCAATGTACCTGAAGTTGTTCAATCAACAACTAAGTGGATATGATATCAACAGAAAATTAAAGTACAATGTACTTGACATTTCATAGTTGATTAATATTGTGATTATGATACAGAAATTATGATAATGTTGCAATGGTAAACAGTAAAATTAGCATTATGCATTTCACAGAACCTTTGCAATTATTGATTGGTTTTTGATAAGGACAAACAATGTTATGCTCTAGTTTTACACATTATACCAGTAGTATACTAGTATTATGTGCCCACAGTATACGGAGGATGAGGCACGCAGGTTGGGTGTGGTTGGATGGGTGAGGAACACTCGCCAGGGCACTGTGGATGGACAGGTACAAGGGCCTACTGATAAAGTCAGACAGATGTGAGTACCTCTCTGTGTCTCTAATTTATCCATTGATCCGTTTTCACATTCAGTCAACAGATTTTTCCAATAGTGCAGAAGAAAAACATACCGTTTTCTTCTTCCCTTCCCTTCCAAACAAATATATTAGGTCAATGACCTTGACCAGATAGCTGTCACCACTGTAGCAGGTACCCTGTGGTGTTGGATTACATTATGTAGCAAGAGGCAGGGCAAAGTTTGAGGGGCAGGTCAACATATACATATATGAATGTGTGACAACATATACATATATGACTAATAAGAACATTATGTATTAGATTTTGCAAATGTTACCTTTGTAGTAGTCTATATTTCAAACACTAATCTTACAAGCCTTTCGAATACACAGGAAACAATGGCTGCAGTATGAGGGAAGCCCGTCCAGTATTATTGACTACGCCACTTTCAGGAATGAGAAGACTATCAGCAAGCCTACCCAGAAGGGCTTCTTCACCAGATACTGAGTCTCTGTTCTGTGCAGGTGTCTGCCTAAATTGTGTCTAACAAGGTTCTAACTAGCCTGCTGAACAGACCTTCATGGCTCTCTTTATCTTTGTGACACTAAGGCCTAGGAAAAAATGTAAGTTTTTCCAATCCCCCCAACCAACTGTAACCTTTTTTCTTGCCAATCACTGGCAAGTCCATTAAACTTCTACCAACTGACTGATTTTTTTCAGGACTGAAATCAGAAACACAACTTTTTTTTCCTAGGCCTAAGAGTGCTGCCCACTTGCCTATCCAGCACATGCTAGGGGTGTCAATGAGAAAGGCTGACTGGAAATATTAACTGTCTGTTGTGTTAACAGACTGTTGGGGCCAAAGCTGGTCACCAAGCTAGGTTGAAAGAAGCATGGCTGCAGATACTAAAACTGAAGTTTCTTTCCCAAGCTGTGACATAAATGATCATACATCAGCTTCATGACCATCTTGCTTCACATGCACATTTTCAGAAGCTGAAAAAATAACATAAAGTTTACAGGACTTCAAAGAATTGACTTCAGGTGTCAAGGTATTGATATGGTCTAATGTCAGGCAAAGCTGCATTTGCATTTTAGGCCACACCAATTTAATTTGTTGGTTCTCGGATTTTTTCAGAAAAAATATGAAGCGACAGGGCGAAAAAAAAATAAAAATAAAAACAGGTCTAGGCATCCTATTATAGGCTTAAATGCTACAAAATAAGCCATGAAGTCAACACAAAAGGCTGGGTTAAAATTTAAACATTGAATTTTGAACTTTTAATCAAACCACTGCAATGATAG